CCTACTCTGTGCTCGATGAACTAGATAGTTAACAGTTTGTAATATATATTGTGGCTGTTACAACTTTTTGCTCCAGGGGTATTAGCGTGTGAATGTCTGTTAAATGTCCGTATTATTTCTATCTAATCAGTTTTCAATTCCTTGAGTGTACAGATTTTTAATATTTTTTTCTACTGAATTTTTAGCTTTTAAGGAAATCTATGATTCCTAGAAATCATTATTCATTCTTCATGATTCGTGTGATGTACTTATACTTGCATTTGAGATACAGCATACTTTATAATTAATTTTCACCGTAGGTATCTGGTGTTCAAAAACACTGGTTTTTGGGTTAAAATGTAGTTGGCTTTATTTTCCATAATTTCCAAGGTAACGTTTGAAAATCTTATGGCCAGCCTAAGTATCAATCCATTCCCTATACCTACCTTAATAAAGCAGTTACAATTAGCCAGATGCTCCAAGGTAGTTTTCTCTGCCCTCAGCTAATAAAGGTCTTAGGTGATAAACTTATAGATGGTATTTAAAAACACAAAAGAATAAAAAGAATAAGGGAGGGGGCCGACCCAGCGGTGCAAGGATTAAGTGTGCAAGTTCCACTTTGGCAGCCCCGAGGTTCACGGGTTCAGATCCTGAGTGTGGACATGGTACCGCTTGGCAAGCCATGCTGTGGGAGGTGTCCCACATATAAAGTAGAGGAAGATGGACTTGGATGGTAGCTCAGGGCCAGCCTTCCTTAGCAAAAAGAGGAGGCTTGGCAGCAGATGTTAGTTCAGGACTAATCTTCCTCATAAAAAAAAAGAATGAACATAAGTTCTGAATACGGATTCTAGTATAAAATATTGGAAAAATGCTAAGAATAAGATTACCGTGATTTATTGGGCAGCTGCTGTGTACTAGGCATTTAACACAAATTACCAGTTTTAGTCTTCACCGTCCTATAAATGGACATGATTGCCCTCCCATGACAGCACTACTGTTTAAGATCTCCCAGCTAACTTTGGTGTTTCTGAGCATATCTTTCCCATCTTTGAGATGGGAATAATAATATCTCCTTTTAAAAGATATTTTAAGGCTTGAGATTCTTGTTTCCACATTTGTTTTCTCAAAAAAAGCTCATCCTACAATCTTTTCCATCTCAGTAAATGACGACTCCATTCTTCCATTTCCTTGTGTTAACACCCTTGGAGACATCTTAACGGTTCTCCTTTTCCTTTATTCCATAAATAATTCATCAACAAATCTTGTTAGCTCTCCTTTTATACCAATTCCGTAATCTTCCCACTCCTCACCATCTTTACTGCATTAGTTCAAGCCCGTGCCTTGCTGGCGAGGATGATTGCAATAGCTTCCTAACTAGCCCTTGTTTCTGCCCTCACCACCACACTGCCCACTCACAGTTTCCAACCTAGTAGCCAGAGTGATCTATAAAAATGCAAATAAGTTCATGCTACTTGCTATGGTTTGAATGTTTGTGTTCCCCCAAAATTCACATGTCAAAATCCTAAAACCCAATGTGTTGGCAGTAGGAGGCGGGGCCTTTGGGAGGGGCTTAAATCATGAAGGTGGGGCCCTTGTGAAGTGGATTAGTGCTCTTATAAATGAGACCCCAGGGAGCTCCCTAGTTCCTTCCCACACTCGAAAATACAAGATGCCTGCAACCCAAAAGAGAGACCTCACAGGACCATGCTTACATCCTGATCTCAAACTTCCAGCCTCTAGAACTTTGAGAAGTAAGTTTCTGTTGTTTATAAGCATGCAGTTTGTAGTACTTTGTTACATCAGCCCAAACGGACTAAGACACCGCTCCTGTGCTCAGAACTCTCCAATAGCTAAGTTAAGATGTTGTCACTAGCCCCTTCCTATATACACCCTGCCCACCACCAGCCCAGCACTCTCCATTCCAGGACCTGAAGACCACTGCTTATTGCAAGAACCTGTGGCTCTTTTCCTGGACACTTACTCTGACTGTACAATTGATGATGGGCTATGAGACAGCAGCGTGGAAGCACAGAAAAGGGTTAATGACCCTGGGAGCAACCCTCATCCAATGCCAGAAGGAAGTAGTGGGTAAATATTTCAGCATTCTGAGCCCTCACGTGAGAGCAGTCTGAGCTATGCTATGTAGAGTCTCCCAGAGGACCCAACAGATTGTAATTTCAGTTGCCCTGAGCAGTGACCAGCTTGTGTATGCTGGTTCTATTTGCTCACTTTCCCGTTTCAGTACTGGTATTTCCCAGAATCTTTCCCAAATAAACACTTTAGCCTCATATTCTTATCTCAGGGAATGCATCTGAGTGAGCCCAAGCTCCCCAGCTTGTCCGGAGACAATGTCCTGCAAATCTCCTCCGCAGGCCTTTCCCTCACTGGCCTCATGTCCCACTGCTTTTCCTTGGGACTTTCTGTCCCCCTCACTGTTCCTCCAACACCCCAGACATCTGCCCAGCTTGGAGCCTGGGCACTTGCTGCTCTTTCTGCTGTAGTGCTCCTTTCCCATCACCTTCTTAGTGACTTCTCCCCTCTCCTCATCTCTGCCTCCCCCACACTCACAAACGCTCTCTCCCTAACCTGTTATATTGGCCTTCATAGCTCTTAACACCATTTGGCAGGATATATATATTTTAATTAATTAATTAGTTTAAAATCTGTCTCTTCCCACTAAACAATCAATCCCACGATGCCAAGAACATAGTCTGTTCTGTTCACTATTAGATCCTTGGTGACTAGAAAATAATTAGAACATACATGGTAGTTAAATAATATTTCATGGAAAGATTGTTATCATTTAGAAGGTGTGTCTTATTTATCAAATGGAGATAACAAGTGCCTAGTTAATGTTAGATGCCGAATAGTTGATATTCTTATGGTTAATATGTTTATGTTATTTTATACACAATTGAATATCTTGTCAGGCTGTTGTGGAAACTGCAAAAGTAGAAATGCTTCTGATGGCAAGAAATTTAAGTTACGTTGGTGACACTATGATAGAATGCCTAGAATTAAAATAAATCTAAGCACACACTCAACACACCATAACCATATTGTTAAAAATATTTTCCAACTCATGATACCAGCTTGATTAGAATGTTGCAGTGTTCAACATTAGAAATGGAAGGAGTGTCTAAGTTTGTGGATGGGTAGGATTAATTCAGAAGGAGACTACTGGAAATTTAATTTGGGCTGATGCATGTTTTAAGGAAGAGATCAGATGCTTTAGAAGAAGATTAGAAGAATTTATCAGAACAGAGACTGGCAAGAATAAATTCAATTTTTTGTCACTTGTTTGGTCTTATAATGTAGAACATTAAAAAGTAAAATAGCAAGGGGGTTAATGAAACAACTTGAAAGGAAATGATCGGTAAAGGTCGGTTTTCACATCACATGTGAAGGAAGATTTTAGAGAAGGAGTGACAAGGTCATAGTCTTATTGGACAATACAATTTTTCACTGCATTGACTAGGTTAATTGGGTTGGGATAGTTCTTTAGAATGAACATACAATATGATATCCATATAAAAAGGGATTGAGAGATGCCTATTGAAGTGATTTTATACTTTGTTTTTCATAATCGTTGGACATCAAAGTAGTGAGAGCTAAGGACTAAAATAATATTAGTAGAAATACTTTGTGAGAAAAATTTGTGATCATGATTGTGAAGCTAACGTGAGAAACGTATGGTTGGATATCCTCATTTATCGTTGCCCTCAAACTTTTGAAAATAGTCTTTACTACAATGCGCATGTACACATGCACACACACACACACACACACTCTAGTAAACAGTTTGATGAATTTAATGAACTGAATGCAGCTTCTAGATCCAGGAACAGAATATCAATAGTATCCCAGTAGCCCCGCCTTGGACATACCCACACAAGATGCATTGGTAAATAGCAACTTAAAGAAATAGAGTGTGGTTTAGCCATTTTGGGGGATAGGTGGCAGCAGATTCAGACAATTTGGGGGTCAGTAGGTGCACAGTTCTCCCATCAGTCTAGTTTGGTGGTGAGGGCCTGGAGTCATTTCTGTAAGTTATAATACAACCTGTTTCTGCATTCCTTCTAAGGATTCTGTGAGCTTTCTAATATCCCCTAATAAATCCCCTCCTGCTTAAACTAGCTTCACTGGATTCTGTTTCCTGCAGTCAAAGACCCAGAATGAAACAAAAGATTAATCCTCTTTGTGGAAGTGAAAAGTCAAAATTTATTGAATGATATTCCCAAAGGAGCATGACTTAAAAGAGAACATTGAAGAATAATTTCACAGTGGAAAATGGATAGAGGACAGAGATTTGCAAAAGATGTAGGGAGCTATGAGAAGCACTCAAATAAGGTCAACTTTGAAGCTGATCCGTTAGAAATATTATGGGCTGAATTGTGTCCCCCAAAATACATACTTTGAAGTCCTAGCCCCCAATAGGTCAGAATGTGACTGTATTTGGAAATAGGATCTTTAAAGAGGCAATTTAGGTTAAATGAAGTCACGAGGGCAGGCCTTAATCCAGTCTGAGTGGTATCCTTATTGAAGAGGAGACGAAGACACAGACACGCACAGGAGAAAGACCATGTGAAGACACAGAGAGAAGACGGCCATCTAGAAGCCAAGGGGAGAGACCTCAGAAGAAACTGTGCTGCCGACACCTTGATCTCAGATTTCTAGCCTACAGAACCGAGAGAAAATAAATTTCTGTCGTTTAAACCACCCAGTCTGTGATGCTTTGTTACGGCAGCCTTCACAAAATACTACAAAGAAGGAAGAATGTTTTCCGATGTCCAAGTGGGCACAGGCATTCTGAGAGAGATAAATAAGAAATAATTATGTAACTACATTGGTTTCTTCAAATTCATTGGCAGTAAAGATGGAATCCAAATTTCACCTGATCAAGGAGACTGACTTTATAAGGACCGGAAGTCCTCCCCGCCCCAGAAGTGAGGTCATAATGCAGAACACAAAGGGAAAACTGTTAAACAAAAATTCTGAAAGCTTTAGGAATAGGTATTCCATATCTGGGGTGTAGATGCCCAGAACCAAGATCCCAGAACACAGTACTTTTTCAGGTTTATCAGTCCCTCTGTTCAAGGAAGACGAAACGTAAAGTACACTCTCAACAAATTATCTTGGCAATATTTTGTTGACTTATTATTTTAAAGATATGCCAGTGTGTGACTTTTACTTTGTGGTAGGTAGTTCAAAAAATATAGATTTTTTAAGTAGCTCTGAGAGTCATCTTGTTTGGTCCAGATTATGGACTGTTTAATTATTTTGAATATATTGGTAGCATCCAATTGCATAAAACCGAAGTTAAATTAATTCTTAAGTAACATGCTGTAATTAGATGCCAAAAAGTGATACAAACATAAAAAAATTATAAAAGCTTAAGTTATTAGACTGATATGAAATTAATCTGGAAAATTAAATAAAGACTAGAATTGTGTGTGTGTGTGTGTGTGTGTGTGTTTCTATAGACCCAACAGTAACCCAAATTCTTTTATATAAGTATAGAAGTGGACATAATTTTCATTAAAATTATCATTCTTACACTTGCAGAGGCTTTTTAGATGATTCAGGTTATTTGCTTAACATAGGAATGTTTACTTTAGAAAGTACAATTTTTTATTTTATTCACATTGGTTAAAATATACAAGCCAACATTTCCTGCACTTGACCTTAGAAGTTCATCTTTCTAAAATATTTTTTTATACTTTGCCAAAGTGTTTACTTTCCTAATTACCTCCTGTTACATTAGTTAACTTCCCTCATGCTGGCCTAGAGAGTTCTTTTGGCCCACTGGTATTTGCACATGGAATTTAAATATTTGCAGGAGTACTTTTCCTGTTCTTTACTCATCAGTTAGCAAAGTCAAACATCATTTAGTCTCAGACTCTGCAACCAGCATGGAGGGGATGCTAGTCAATCTTCCCTTTTTTGTTTATCTCTTCTACGGACAACATCCGTTTTCAATGCCGGGGTCACTGATTATCCATTCATTCACCATCCATTGAACATCTACATGACAAGCACAGAATTTGGTTTGTGAATTTAAGGAGTCGTATCCTAATGGGCAGAGACATATGTGAGCAAATAATTACAAGGTGATTCGATGTGTTCTGGTGTGCACACCATGTAATGAGTACATGGAGAACGAAGAAATGGGCTCCCACTGGGAGAAGCAGGGTGCCTTACTAGAAGCAAGAGAAAAGTTACTGCCTCTTGCAAAAAGAAGTAGAGCACTTAGTTTTTCGCTTTGTATAACAGTTGAGATATAATTGTTATACAATAAATTTTGCATATTTAAAGTGTACAATTATATATATATGTGTGTATGTGTTTGTATGTATAAATTCATGAAACCCCACCCTAACTAAGATAATGAACATATCCATCACCACCCCCAAAGGTTCCTCATGCCTTTTTATAATTCCTCCCTCCTTCCTTATTTCTCTGGATCCTCTCTCCTCCATCCTTTTTTGTTTAGAGCGAGGCATCTGGTTTCTTTCATTCAGCGTAATTATTTTGAGATCTACCCGTGTTGTAAGTATCAGTAGTTTATTCTTTTTACTACTGAGTAGTATATCATAGTTTGTTAATTTATGGATTTTGAGTTGTTTCCAGTTTTTTACTGTTTCACATAAAATTGCTATGAAGAATTTTATGCATAAGAAGTATGTCTTTATAAGAACAAAAACAGATATTTTGTTTATTTCTCTAAGAAAAATACCAAGGAATGAAATAACTAAATCATATGTAGTTAAACTTTTCACAAACTGTTAACTTGTTTTCCAAAGTATTTCTATGATTTTTCTTTTCTCCTACCAGTATGTGAGAGTTCCAGTTCCTCCAAATCTCTGCCAACATTTGGTATAGTCATTTGTAAAAATTTTAGTCATTCTAAAAGAAATGTAGTGGTATCACATTATGATTTTAATTTGCATTTTGAAAAAGTGACTAATGATGGTTAACATCTTTTCATTCTGTTGTTTGTCATCCCTATATCTTTGTTGGTGATGAATCTCTTCAAATATTTTGCCCATTTTTTATCCGGTTTTGTTCTTAAAATTGAGTTTTAATAATTCTCTATATATTATGGTTATAAGCCCTTTATCAGTTTTGTGATTTATAAATATGTTCTCCTAGTCTGTAGCTTTCCTCTACATCCTCTTTACAGTGTCATTAGAAGTCCGAAGTTTTAAATTTTGACAAAGCCCAATTCACCACTTTGTTCTTTTTCACCTTATCCTTGGCATGATATCTAAGAAATGATTGCCTAGCCCAAGGTCACAAAGGCTTTCCTCATGTGTTTTCTTCTAGAAGATTTATAATTTTAGGTTTTATATTTAGAGTTATAATCAATTTTCACTTAACTTGTCTATAAATTGTGTGGTATGTATCAAAGTTCATTTTTGGGCCAATGGATATCCAATTATTTAAGCACCATTTATTTAAAGATGATCTTTTCTCTACTCAGTTGCCTTTGTGTTTTTGTTGAGAATTAGTTATCCATAAATGTGTAGATATATATCTGGACATCCCATTTTGTTCCAGTGATCTGTTTGTGTGAGTACATTTGGGGTCCCCAGCAGAAGAGTTAAAATAACCCCTTACACACACCACAGTGACATTCTTGCTGCCCTAACAGGTCCATACAGCTACCGTCTTCCAGATTTCTTATACATTTTCCTCCCCATCCCTAATTCTTCTTCATGCTTCTTCACAGATTGCCTCAGAAATCTAAACTCTTTACCTGGAAATTCTCTTAAAATGTAGGTTTTAAATCTGTTGCTTTAGGGTAGAACTCACAAACTGTATCCCTGAGTTTTCCATTAATGCTGATACTGATGCTCCACCGACCACACTTTGAATAACAAGATTCTAGAACGTGTAGATTTCACCTTCTTACTAGGCAGTTGTTCATTAAATAGCAAAAATGTGTTGTTTGAACTTGCTTTATTCTAATATAATTAGATGGCTATTTCATTAAACTAGTGGGCTGAAAAACTGAAGAAAACCAACATGCATATATCCCTTTATAATGTTTAATAGGTCAAATCTGTCCTTAAGAACAAATTTCTTATGCGGATTTTTTCCAATAAAGTTAGCCACTACAATACCATAAAATGTGAGGAGAACATTCCTAACATCTTAGGATAATTGGCACATTTGCCAACAATTTTTTTCTCACATCAATGAGTACATCTTATGAGATCATTTATTTGTCTGTAGTATGTTTTTAATGTAGTAGAATTCTCAATATATAATACATAAAATTTTAATTATATTAAATCAAAGAATATTTTATAATATTTTGGATAAGAATATTCATAAATATATGACTATAATTTCATAATATATATAGAAAATATACAAGGAATTTATACAACTCAATAGCAAAAAAATAAATAACAATTAAAAAATGGGCAAAGGTTCTGAATGGACATTTTCCAAAGAAGACATACAAATAGCCAACAAGTACATGAAAAGATGCTCAACATCACTAATCACCAGGGAAATGCAAATCAAAACCACAATGAGATATCATGTCACACCTGTTGGGATATCAGTTCTCAGAAAAACGAGAGAAAACAAATGCTGGTGAGGATGAGGAGAAAAGGGAACCCTTGTGCACTGTTGGTGGGGGTGTTGGTACAAACACTATGGAAAATAGTATGGAATTTCCTCAAGAAATTAAAAATAGTACTACCATATGATCCAGCAATTCCACCTTTGTGTGAATATCCAAGGAAAATGAAATCATTATCTGGAAGATGTATCTGTACTCTACTCTTGTGTTCATAGCAGCATTATGCACAATAGCCAAGGTATGGGAACAGCCTAAGTCAATGGATACATGGATCAAGAAAATGTGATATATATACATAACGACTATTATTCAGCCTTTTAAAAGAAGGAAATTCTGTCATTCACAACAACATGGATGAACATGGAGGTCATTATGCTAAGTGAAATAAGTCAGACAGAGAGACAAATGCTGTTTGGTGTCAGTTATCTGTAGAATGTAAAAAAAAAAGCAAGTTGAACTCATAGGAACAGAAAGTAGAAAAGTGGCTGCCAGGGGCTGTGGTTGGGGAAATAGGGAGTGGTAAAAGGGTACAAACTTTCAGTTATAAGATGAATAAGTTCTGAGGATCTAATGTATAACATGGTGACAATAGTTGACAACACTTTATTGTGTAATTGAAATTTACTAAGAGGGTAGAACTTAAATGTTCCTACCAAAAAAGGGTAAATATGTGAGGTGATGGATGTGTTAATTGATTCGATGGGGTAATCCTTTCACAATGTATAGGTATATCAAATCATTACATTGTACACTTTAAATATCTTACAACTTTGTTTATCAATTAAACTTCAATAAAACTGAAAAGGATAAGAAAAGGCAAATCTTTTTGATTACAGAAAGAAAAGGTTTCTAAAGGAGCAACCAGTCCTATTTAAACAATTAAAAATATGGCTTGAGATTAAGTGAAAGAAAAGGGAAATCAATCCTTAATGATTCCAAAGGCGTGGCTAATAGCACTGAGACAGCGATAAGCCTGTACACCCTTGGAGAGGAGACGTAATTACTCCACAGCGATGAGCTCCTCCTCACGATGTGCTCTGCAAGGAGCTCTGGGACCAGTCTTATACAAACCTGGTGTAAGTTTCCAGGGTGCTAAACATGCCACCTGCTCCCGGTGGCCTGGCTTCTTCCCTCTTGTTATCTGCGTAACTGCGAAAAGGCTTTGGCACCAAGCCAGACATTTTGCATCCCAGGTGAAAACCACACAAGAGAAAACACCCTCTGCTTGTGAAGATGATTTGAGAGCTTTGTGAGGCCTCCATGCATTTTTATGAATTCTCTCTGCATTCGACTTGGTTTCTTGCTGAGCTGTGCTCGTTGACATGGCCTTCTGGTGTTGAAATATTTGTTCTTAATTTACCTCAACAGATGATACAGACAGACATTAACCCTGATTCTACTCATTTAAAAATGTATATTATTTACACTTTCTTCCTTACGCTTAGAGTTTCTATGTTTGCACAGGCAGCATTGTTCCAAGGCACCAACCCATCAAGAAACCCAGCCACAGAAGTCTTCTTTTAGGGTAAGTATTTGTTGAAGGAATGCATGTCAGGAGCTGGACAGACATCAACATTGTGGTAACCAAGTCTTGTGAGGCTCTTGATATGCAGAATACATTGCATACCTGGGGAAAGGTCCATTTAAATCCACATGAAACATTTGTGCTTGCTAGCACAGCCGTAAAGGGCCCAGGTAATATTTTTATGTCCACTGTAATTTAATATAGGGTGCAAATGTGAATCTCTATTATAAAGAAGAAAAGTATTCTCTCCCTACTTCTTCGCTTCTTCCACATTTCATATATCATCAAGCATTCTTGGCAAAAATTTATATTGATATTAAATTAAAAATGTGTATGTGTGCATGACATGTTCATGCAAAAATACTGCCACATTTTCAGTGGCTATGATGGGGAATTAGGAAAATCTTTTCCCATGCCATCAGGATGACTGAAGAATTGAAGAGATTTCCTATTTACTACAACTTGCTCCTGACTTTGAAGAACACGCTACTCCAAATCTGTGAGACCGTTTTTGGATACTATTCTTTGTGCCTCTCTGGAGAGCCTGGCAGTCTCTTCGCTATGTTCTGACTTCAGTCACTTATTCTGAAGCTCAAAATGACACTGCATACTTCCTCAGCTAGGGAGAGCGTGGGAAGAGAAGAGAGAGCAGAAACTATAAACTTTATTTCTTGTTCTTGTCGTCATTTTTTTTCTCTTTCCAATGTGGCTTTCCTCCTGTGGATTTTTTTCTGTTGGCGTTTGTGTCAAGGGAAAGGAGAGCTTTCGGTTTACTCTGAGATTTTCACTTCTTATCACTCTTCAGACAAACCCCCTGCAGTACTTCCCATCATCAATTTTCAGTCCCCCCCTCCTCTGCCCGCGCCCCCACTCCTAGGAAACTTCCTGTGTCATATGTCTTCCGACCTGCCCCGTGGTTAAGATGTCAGACCTGTTTGCAGGACACCACAGACAGATAAATGACACGGAAAAGGAGCCCAAAAGCAGGCCAAATATATGTTATACATGTACTTGAAGGTAGCATGAAGAAGATGACATTTTCCCTCAGGGGAGAAAAGGATAAATTAGTTAACATATGGTATTGGGCCAACTGGCTAAGCATGTGGAAAAGGAAAATAAAGTTAAACCCCTACCTCACAACACGTACCCTAATAAAATCCAGATGAATTAAACATTTAAATGTAAAAAATAGAACCACAAAAGTACTGAAATGAAACATAGGTGGATATATGCTATTGGCATAAAGGAGGCCTGTGGGAGCACACGTGCCAGCCAGAGAAGGCGAGGAAAAGAGCAGCGGATTTGCTGCACAGTATGAATTTCCTGTGTGGTAAAGAAGCAAAATGGCAGGCAACAGAAATAATTTGCAGTGTATGACCTAAATATTAATAGTTAATATATAAGTATCTTCTAATATTAACTAATTGATTATATCAGTAGAAAAATAGGCAAAGGATCTAACTGGTGCTGAGAAGAAGTAGGAAGGAAATGGCCAATGTGCATATGAGAAATAAGTAAGTATCAAGTGAAAGTTAAAGCTATGATCAAATGCCATTTTATCTACAAAATGGAGAATTAAAATGTTTTATTCAGTATTGACAAGGTTGGGGGTAAATAATACTCTCTCATTTATTACATTAGGCTTTAGGTTGGTTCTTAATGGTGAGCAACTTGGAAACATGTACCAAAAGCTTTAAAAATGTTTAAACTTGATGCCAAATTCCATTTTTGGTAGTCTATTATAAGGAAAATTTAGATGCAATATATTGTTTGAAATATTTAAGTATTGAAAACAATTTACATTTTAAATTATGAAATTTTGACTAAGTAAGTTATAGCACATAAAAAGGGATGCTCTATACCCTTTTCCAATGATTCTGCAGGTTATTATTTAAAACCATGTTAAAAAATTACTACTTAGGTATTAAGTATGCATTAAAGGTGTACATGAAGTTAAAAAAATATCATATAGTCTAATAACAAAATACTATGTGTATATTTATATATTAACTAGCTGGTGAGGTTTATTTTTTTATTTTCTTTTTTAAAAAATGCATTTGTTTCATCAAATAAGAATGTTTAAATTATGTCCTATCCAGAGGGGCTATGTTTCAAGACCCCCCAGTGGATGCCTAAAACCACGGAGTACTAAACCCTATATATACTCTGTTTTTTCCTATACATAACATACTTACGATAAAGTTTAATTTGTAAATTAGGCACAATAAGAGATTAACAATAATTAATAATAAAATAGAACAATATACTTCAATAGAAGTTACTGTAGATCTTTGCAACCTCAGCTTACAATTTTGTTTCTTTGCATATTGAGTTGAGAACTTTCTCCTTTTCAGTTAATCGAAGGACTTTGTGGCCTCTCTTTGGCATACCTGAATTGCGGGCATCACCACTCTTGAACTTTGGGGCCATTATTAAGTAAAATAAGGGTGACTTGAACACAAGCACTGCATACGTGACAGTCCATCTGATAACTGAGGCGGCTACAAAGTGACTAACCAGCCGGTGACATACACAGTGTGGATGCACTGGCCAAATCTCATCTGGGGCTGGGTGGCACGAGATTTCATCACGATACTCAGAACAGCTCGCAAGTTCAAACTTAAGGAATTGTTTATTTCTGAAATTTTTTGTTTAAATATTTTCAGCCTGCAGTTGACAGAAGGCAACTGAAACCGTGTAAAGCGAAACCGAGGGTGGGGGGGACTGCCGTGCTGGAGTAGCGCTGGAGTAGTGGTGCAGTAATTTGCTGTCCTAAGTGGTCATCTGTTCCAACAGTTAGCAACCGGAAGAACTGATAAAGACTTTGGAATTTTAGTGTTTCTCCTCTTTCATCCCATTCGTCTCAGTGAAGTATAGAGTGAATTGAAAAGATTTATTTTCCCATTAAGATTGATCAATTTGGCTACCAAAATATATTACTTGTTTTCTCTATTTTATTGGAAATGAAAAAATAATAAAGCACCTAATATATAACTACTAATTATTATACATAATAATTGATAAGCAAAAGTTTGCTGTTTTTATTGTTGCTTTCTTAAATGATTTTAATTTATCGGCTATTATGCCAGAAGACCAAATTACAGGGATCTCAAGGAAACTGTCTTTCTCATAGGAGTAGTGGTCATTGTTCTAAAGACATGTCCTTTCTGATATAACAAGAATGTGCACACACATGCGTGTGTTTCTATGTGTGATAGAAGCCAATTATTACAGGTGTGCTACAGGAAAAGTCTTTACAAGGGTTTAGGGATTCTCAAAATTAAAGAAAAAGCACAGGAAACAAAATGAGAGTAAGGAGCTATAGAGTCAGGGAAAGCTCTAAATTCCACATCAAGTGAAAAACCACAGGAAAGAGCCTCTTGTCTATTTTGGATTCAGATTTTGTCTATTTGTGATTCAGAATCAGAGAATGTTTAAAAAATGAAGAAAGCATGATTTGAAAACTGTAATTAAATTTCCTTTTTTATGTAACATGTTTAGAATATTAAATGAGAACTCCAAGTTCATCAGACCACCTTCACCGTCTTTAAAAAGGCCACAGGTAATTTTGCCAGGGCTGAGGGTTATCTGCCTTATTCATATTTTGGAAGATAAGGCTATTTCACCTCTACTTTAGTGAGGTATTTATATCCTTGCAGAACTAGAAATCATGCCTCGAGCCTATGTAAATCTCCCTTGCTGCACTTCAATAGATTGATAACTAGTTCTATTTAGTTTGGGATTTATGTGTATTCCATTTGATTCAAGGAAGTTAAAAGTGCTTATGACTATTTATCACATCCTAAGAACCTCCTGGTATCTGGAATTTGGAATCAGAAAACATAAATTCATGCCTCAACTTCATCATGCATTCACTGTATGACATCCAGCAAGTTACGTATCCTCTCTAAGCCTTAATTTCTTCATTTGTACTAGCAGAAGATATTTCATAAAGTTGTGAGAAATGAAATACAATAATTCATCTGAAGGACTTTGTAAATTAAAAAGAGATGCCATAAATAAATGTTAGTTACTTTTAATAGAGTAAACATGTTCAGTCAACATGATGCCTTGGATCGTTCTTTTTAATAATTTAAAATAGCATTGTACAAGATTGGTTTGTCGTGCCAGATTTTGTTTCTGCAATTCTAATTTACCTCCCAATCTATGTCAACAATATATTTTCCTGGTTTCAAAATATGGAATTATCTTTTAGTTTCTCCCTCTTTTCTTATGAGCCCGTATGTTAATAATGACTAAATCTATTCATTTCTATCCTTAAAATGTCTCTCCCATCCACTGACCCCCTCCATCCCTTGCCTTTTATGTTTCCCTTATCTTCAGCTTTGGCCAAGGGGGAATAGATGTGTCAGACAGACCTAGGTGTGAAATCGGGCTCTGCTAGTTCCTGTCCGTGCCACTGTAGTTATATAATGTAATCTTAAACTTCCATGTTCTCACCTGTAAAGAAGAGATAATGCAAATCCTTCACAGTGGTTACATTTAATGAAAGTTTCATCACAACGTTTCTGTGTTCAAAATCTTTGATGATTTTCATTTTTCACCAAATAAAGTTCCAATTCAGATAGATTTTAAGACCAGTCTCCTACTCCCCGTCTGGCTTTATCTCCAATTCTTCTCCAATCATTATTACCACCTACTAGATTTTCTGCCTTGACACAAGAGGCACAAAATTTATATCAACAATGTCTCTTAAATTAGGATAATTGATTCTTTAATTTCCTTGTTTTGAAATGGGGAGAGGAAAGTTTCTGCATATATCACAGAATTATTTTTAGGAAAAATGTGCTAATCTATGTTACAGAATATTAGAAGATCCCCAAACTACTTATTTGCACGGTACTATTACTAATTGTCATAGCCTTTGGCTCATCATGCGCCTGGCTGAAATAGGTTCTTCAGCATGCCCTGTTAGTCTCTCCAAATGAGAGTGACTGATGCCAAGTGGAGAGATGGAATCTTTCTATCCACCATTCCCT